CGTCGTCTGTGCTCCAAGCATTGAGTCTTTCAAACTGAGGCTTGATGAAATACTAGCACACCTTACGTTTCAACATAAGTGAACCTGCGTACAGCAGTGGAAAACGCACGTATCACGTGACAGTTTACAAAAAGAATTGTATGTATCACTGTTTCTTAATCCACCTATGGGACCAGAAAAGCATGAGCTTGTAATTTATTCCCATAATAAATCTTTGAATCTTTGCACTGCTGGTGAGACCCAATCAGGTCGAAACAGTTGTTCAGTGCTTCCTGACTTTTCAGTTCATACCTCATTTTACATATACACGACGAATTTCCCCTTGGAAATTGAGCCAAATGCTCCGCTATTGACATGAAATTCAGGGTGTTGCACGAGTTTGTTCAATACCTGTATATACATAGAACGATTCAAAAGTGATATGCCGTGCCTTTTAATCTGTAACACTGCATGCATCATGTAAAACACGATTCAGCTGAGACCACTTTTGTGCATGAGATTGAAGCACGTAGTGAGAACAACTATTCACATTCTAAATGACTCACTGTTGTCAATGTTTGTGTAAATATAACTTTTATCCACGCAAAAATTTACCGTACACTTAAAGTTTGGTCGGAACGTCTAGTGAATGCATAAGAGAATAAAAACTAACAAGTGTTCCCATCGCCTAGATGAGCCTAATTGGATAATCATTGAACCATCCAGTCAAGCCTAAAACAATAGTCGGCAAGACAAGGCATTATTGATTCAACAATCTGTTTGTTCCCAATCGTTATATTGTTCCTGATGTCAGCTTGTCTTTAAGCCCTGATTACAACTGAGTCAGAAGTCACACTAGATCATTATTTTTCCTCTGAGGTCTGAAGCACAATCGTTGGCTTTGATTATTAGGAAAAGGGGGCCACCAAAAAGGAACTCATGTTTAATAAATGCAATAACTTGAGCAAACGGTTTTATCATGACAAACAACCAACCAATCAAATTGCAGCAAATCGTCGCAATTGACCAATCGGATTGGAGGGGTACAAACAGCCAATCAAAACCCTCGAACAGAACAATATAAGCCCGGTCACAGAGACGACTGACGCATGCCCAAAGTCGTACTTATGATGTTCCCTTGTTCGGCTACAAAATGTTTGCGAACAACACTTTCACCTCGTAGAACGCATCAGCACCAACATCGGTATCCCGAGTTACACTCACATTCCACATCATATTAAACAAAAGTTTTTCTAGCGGTATACATTTTTGTTTCACTTTGTTTGCGTATCATAGTTCTCAAGCCAATACATGTGATGAACAGCATCACATGGGAATTAACCCCCCCCCCTCAATGAGGTGCTTCAATTGATTCGTAATCCATTGCCTTATTTTTCTTTTTATGCAATAAACCCATACACGTTAGATATCAGGAAATGTTGGCAATCCGTTGAGTTAACTTGCCTGCTGATCAGTGCGTACACACATATCATTCACTGACAGCACAGGACGACGGACAGATGCAACCCACTGCTCTACTGAAGAGAAACTGGCACCTCCTTCGACAGCATCGACTGAGTAATATACATACACACACGGATGGTTTTGTCGCCAAAAGCGTACATAGGAGTTCAGCCTTAAAGTAAGTGAAGAGAAAATTCAGTGGATTGACAGCGAAGCGTTATTTGAATTTTGCAGTTCGAGTGAGGGATTTTCAAATTAAAAAAAGAGATTGATATTTAAACAATAACCTTGTCGCTCTAACCACGCCGCGAATCGGTCTTGACTGTTGGGAACGATCACGGTGCCTTTCCCATCGCGATACGGAATCGAGAAAGTATAGTGTTCCTACCATTCTCGCGCATCCTCCGATATTTGACTAACTTTTGTTTGACAATAAGGTTGTTCGATGCCAGTTCGCACGCAGCCACTTATGATTGTCATAACTTGGCTTAACTTCACCCGGTTCACATTGTGTGGTGGAGGTGTTTCAATAGGACAGTGTGATTTCAGCGCTAAAGATTACCAAACTCAAAGTCCATGCTGAAAAAGGGCAGCTTAACTAGTGATGCGTACACATTTCGATCGAGTCTGATCGATTGGTGTCTTTTTGCAACCGTTTGAGGCGTAGCTTATGAATCCTATTGCAGCATCATGCGACGGACGTAAACAGTGGCTCAAGTGTTGACAGGTCATGATCCATTGGTATCAGTGGAGCATGGCCCGATAAGACTGTTCAGAGGGAAGTGGACTAAAACAGACACACAAACACAGTGACGCGTACGCGTATTAGCAGATATATCATGAGAATTGGGATATGTATGACTGCGGCACGTCTCAAAATCGTCACCGTCGCACTTCAGCAGGAGGTTGCGAAATCTGTGCTGCATGATGGTCATCCAGACCTAACTGGGAGGCGTGAACAGGGCATGGTAACTGTAGACGCATTGGTTTGTAAACAATTCACAGAATGGCTCAGTGTCATGCTATAACACAGTAAACTATTTATTTCTTGGTTTTTCAAAGTAGCAAAGAAATACACCTCGAGCATTGTTTTTTTGTCATTTACATATCTATTCGGGTTTCAAGAGAAACTATCCGTTTTCTTTTGTATCCCGTATTTCAAACAGTCTATAACGAGAGTTACGGTCAGTACAATTTTTACACCGGTGCTGAAGTAGCCGTGCTGTCGTCGAATATCGTGATTCAGGGTGACGAGAACAGCATGGAAAGTCGATTTGGTGGTCGCATCCTCGTTTCCACCTCGCTGGTGCAGAATCAATTTGTTCTCGGACAGCTGAAACTATCTGGTGAGAATGGAACATTACATTCGTCTAATTAACACAATGCTTGCCTTTCCCCATTCACGGATTTCCCTGTATTTTGAAAGCCCAACTCCACTCTGGGATTTTTTCGATCAAAGACATCATAGCTTGCTATATTTATCCCCAAGCGCTAGATTTTCCCCCCAAAACGTGAACATCAGCAACTTGAACCTATTCAGTGATTCTATCATTTATCTTTTATGTTACGTCTTATTTTGAATGCATAATTATCCAGTTTTTGCGAAGGAGAAGCGGNNNNTGGTGGTGGTGGTGGTGGTGGTGGTGGTGGTGGTGGGAGTTGGACACATCCTCCCGGGGGGCGATAAGTTTTTGTCCTTCACGATCGGGTTTCTGTTACATTTTAACTCTAGAAGGCCGGTAATTGCTATCTCAACCGGAAGTTCGAAGTAACCCAGTCTACTCGGTGTGAAAAAGGGACCTTATTCAGAGGATAACTAGCCTAGATTAGCAAATAACAAACACATCATAGCTAAACAACCAATCGATTATAGATAGCCGGTATGGAAATTGTGAACTGTCATTTACATAACAAGGCAGAAGTAGGTAAGATGTTTGATGACAAAATGTTTGAAGGAACAGAATTCATCAATTTAATTGACTCCGAGGAATGCAGATCATCATAGCAAAAAAGTCGTTGAGGAGGACTAACTCAGATGAGTAATAGCCCAGTGTGTCTGACACGGTGAACAATTTAGTGTGATACATCAGTGTGTGCGGATATGGGTCGATAGATGCATACGGATTGCACATCACAAGAGTTTTGGGGAACAAGAACGACGAATACAATTTCAAAAATGTAGTAACAGTTTTGTTGGAAGAGTACCGAGTATCAAGAACATAAGTGCACTATAAATTTACTGTCTTTGAAGATGTCTAAATTTCTAATGTTAAACGCAGTTGATCCCATATCAATTTCTTTTCCGTAATAAACACAATTTCGTATTCATACAACCCCATACGTGAAAGCTTTCGATTTGTGCATTCGTTTCTGCCATCATTAAAATATTTTATATTTTCACGATCGTTTCAAACATAATCACTGATAATGAATAACTCTGTAAAGTGGTGGGGTAGGACTTTTAAACGAACAGAAAATGTGTGGCTCTGTTAAAGAAAATGTGAGGTTCTTTGATACATATTTGGAGAGATTTACATGAATCCACTGCTGCCAGAACTATATTCAGTGCAGTATTGCTAATACTACTGTTATAATACCAAAAGGTCAGTCCCGAGTTGAGAAAAAATTGTTTGCTAGGAATAAGGATGAGAGCATCGATAAATTGGATCACATGGAACGAAATGTCACATCTGGAACAGGTTCATCTTAATTTTCACAAGTAAGCAGGCTATTTGATAGAACTATCTGGCATTAGATACAGTTAAACTTTTGAACACACTGGTTCTCTCCAGAAGGTCTTGTTCATTTTTGGCCGTCGTGAGAAACCTTCAATCACCTCCTTTTGCGCTCTTCAAAAAATGCCACTCACAAATATCAGTAGTACCACACAACACTAGTTATACCATTGATTTTATTATTTGTTGAAGTGTCATTCCCAGCTGATTAATCAAACACTCTTCTGTATTCATGTTGTTGTACTATAAAGAATTTATTGTGCATACGTATTATCGCCTTCGTGGCTCCTGGGTACTTTTATTTCTGAAGGTTTTTGTTATTTATCAGAAAATCTCCCAAAAGCGCATGTTTTTCCTCAAATAATCTAGCAGTGAACAGTATTACCACATTTTTATTAAAGTGATATTTTCAAGATGTTTTTCTAAACCCCTATAATGTTGAATCACATTTTTGGGGGGATCACTGTTGGTTTGATTGTGAAAACGAGTGCAGTCTAGGCTAAAGTGTGACAGAACCAGTTTCCAAATAGAAACGAACTAAACGAAGATGCTCGTTTGGACTTGCGCGACTGAGCAAGCAATATCTTCTAAATATGAAGTGAACGGAGAAATCGATCGTCAGACAGGCAGTTAATTGGACACTGTAGCGCAAGCGTTTTTATTACATACCTTAATGTGATCAGCCCTATAACCAGAACGATCTACCGTTCAGTGATGGAACCCAGCAACCTAATCCCCGGGATTTGGAGTAGCGAACCACATACGGCTCCGCTAGATCAGGCGTGGTATTGAACCAGACAACAGCAGAGCTGCCTACCACCAAAGTTGTGTGGTGGTGGCGGGGCTCGAACTTCGGACCATAGGATACAAAGCACGCTACTAAAGCATTGCACCACCACCAACCCATTTACATATGCGGATGCATATTCCAATACTGATCCAGTACTGATCCTCGTCAGTGACATAGACAACAAGAAATGTCATGTAAACTTCATTTTGCTTGCCAAATAATTTGAATTCACTATTGGTAATGTCTTCCGGAAATATCTTATCTGCACCATTCTCGAACACTAGCCCCTAATGAATAATCATAAAATATTTTTATATTGTTTTGCGTTTCGTCATCTTAGTGGAGGAAGATGTGATTGGATAGGGAGACAATATAAAAGCGTCAGACCCCGCTTCGATCAGTGCGAACAAATCACCGTTCCAGAAGCTGAATCAGCATCGAACCCCCGCGTAGACCTCTTTCAAGTACATTTATTATTGGCAAGAGAAAATGATAGACCAGAATGACGTGTACTTGGATATCTAAGTGACTTTGACATTGCGAAATGTTTTGCTCTCCCTCAGTTGCTAATTATGATTACGCTCACTTTTTGTCACCCCGTTTGTTACAAACCAAATAGTTGAAAAATCCTGATTTTGGTCCTTCCTCCGAACTCCCTGCCCCACCTCGCAATGACAGGTGTTCATTTCAAACAGATGGGACAGTCCACATTCACCTCGGATACCGATGCACGATTGCCAGTTGCTTTTATCAATGCAGGGAATGTGTCCTCCACGTCCAGTTTAAACTCGAGCATATTCGAGAATTCATTCACCACGGCCATCGGTGCCTATGGATCAAGTGGTTTGATTGTCCGAGACACAGTAATCTTCAACACATCAGGATCCGGTGAGTATATCATTTGAATTGTGTAGAAATAACAGATATCCAAGCGAGAGAAGTAACCTGCAAATCACTTCAGACTTCTGGATGGATTCCACTGGTGACAGTTCATTTAAACTGCTTGGGAGTACAGATCATTGATAGTAGGTAGGCTGAGTCTCAGATCTTCTCTCAAATGTGTACGATTGATTCTGAGTCATTGTGTAACAATTTTTGACGTAATTGTAATCCTTGAGTGATCACGGTACCACCATGTGCAAATCCCGTATTGGCTTTATATTTCCAAATGGGTAATTTATGCTACTATTGCTACTACTGCTACTACTACTACTACTACTATGTGCAATAACGATTAGACTCTCATTCATACAACAAAATATCTCATTTGGAACAAGTTTGCATACCTCCCGCAGAGACACAGGATAAATGATGTAACGGTTCACTATCAGATGCGCATTCTTGTTTTCACCATATCGAACAGCAGCAGTTTGCTCCAACAGGTCCTGTTCATTGTTGGTCGCTGAAAGAAACCGTTGATCGCATTTTTTGCTTACTACTCACAAGCGAGTAGTATCTCACAACATTAATCCATGCAGCGAGCAATGACATCTATCCTCTGAGAATTCGAACGGGTTCGTGTTTGATTGACAACTTCTTGTGGATTCATGATTGATTTTTGGTGACTCGACCATTAGGTTGACTTCCAACGCCTTTTTGGCGTACGGCACTGGTCCCGGCGTCATCTATCGTGTTCACACCTCTGTCGTCACTTATCTCCTGGAACCTGTTCATTGGAGTTTTTCTTATCCGTATTCTACCTGAACTTCGCCATCTATGAGAGTAACTTCGCTAACCCAGGGTCATGGTGCTTGTGCTATTGTACTGTTGTCATAATCTAATAAAATTTGTGAATAGTACGTTTGAAGTGCACAAAACGATGCGATTGGTGATTTCTCACAACTTTCACAACCGAACAAGACCTAGAGCTAATTTGTTGTCAGAACTGTAACTGGAAACAATTTTTATTTACCGCCGCACTGTTCCATCAAATATCCTGCACGCTTGTCGAAATT